GTTTCATATCATTTTCTGTGCTGAGCTGATTTTGTTTTGAATTGTGTTATCATATCCTTCATTACTATTGTTTTAGTATTTGCTAAATATTTGTGCTTGTCCTCTTTTAAATTTTGATGTGAAGGTTTATTTATTTATTTGTGGTTACCCTGTGATTTATTATTTTCTTCCCAAGTTTATCAGTCTGTTCTATTTTGCAGTTGTCTTGACTTCCTCACCATTTAGAAGTTCTATAACTACACTATTTATTTCCTCTTTTTGGTTTGTAGTTGTCCTCATTTACCAATTGATGTCTGTGGCTCCTTGTTGCTGTCTTATAAGTTTATTTTACTGTGGGTACTTCTATAACTGGGTTGATTTCAGGGTTTTGTCATCATATGTGCTAATCATCAGTTGTTGTTTGCCGTTGTTGGTTCTCTCTCCAAAAGACTTCATTTAGCATCTTTTGTAGGGTTGGTTTGGCTTTAAAAAATTCCCTCAATTTGTGCTTTTCTGGAAATGTCCTAATCTCACCCTCATATTTGTGGGACAGTTTTGATGAGTATGTAATTCTTGGTTAGAAATTTTTTTTCTTCCAGAGTTTTATATATATCATCCCATTGCCTTCTTGGCTGCATGGTTTCTCCCAAGAAATCAGAGCTTAGTCTCACTGGTTGCTCTTTATAGGTGACTTTCATTTTTCCTGTGCTGCTTTCAGTATTCTTTCTTTGTCTTTGGTTTTAGTGAGTTTGATGATGATATGTCTTGGTGATTTTCTTTTAGGGTCTGTCCTATTTGGGGTTCATTAACTTCTTGAATGGATACATTCTCATCTTTCATTGTATCAGGGAAATTCTCTTTCAACAAATCTTTAACAATTTTCTCTGTGGTTTTATTTGTCTCTTCCTGTTCTGGAATTCCAATTACACATAGGTTATTCCTCTTGATGGTATCCCACATGAATCTTAGGCTTTCTTCATTTTGTTTTGATCTTTTGTCCAATTGATACCTTAAAGTAGTATTGAGGTATTTGTCTTCAGTCTCATTCTATCTTATGTTGATTCATTCTACTCCTTTGCCCACTCAATGTGTTGTTTTTTTCTGGAAACTTAGTGTTAATTTTCTGTAATTCTATTTGTTATTTTTGTATTGTTTCTAATTTTTTGTTTGTCGATTTGTTCTTGCATCGTTATCCTAAATTCTTATAGAGTTTTGTCTGTGTTTTCCTTAATTTTGTCAGTGTTTTCCTTGCTCTTTCAATCTGTTGAAGGAACCCCAATATAATTTTTTTAAATTCCTTATCAGGGAGTTCCAATGCTGCTTCTTCCTCAGGGATGTTTTCTAGGTTTGTATCCTGGTCCTTTGTTTCTACTACTTTATCTTCTTTGTGTGGACTGTGATGGTCTATTGTCTCCAAGACATTGTGATATTGTTGTACTTATGTTTAATTTGTGGTCGTATGTTGGTATGTTTCACACAGGATTTTTTTCTTTATTTTGCTTTTGATATATGTATATGATCAGGGTACTGTGTTCCTCTGTTCACTAGTTGTTAGCACTTACGCACCCACCACCTGTCTCTTGGTGGGTATGATAGAGGATGAGAGTGTGTGCACAGATATCTATTAGCTGTTTGTAAAGAACAGTTGAGTGTGAGTTGAGCTGGCATTGCCTGCTATCTATCATTGGCCAGTTGGTACAAAGGCAAGTGGTGGCCCTCACTCACTGGGTGGGTGTGCTGGAGGTCAAAGTATGGTTGAGTTGTGTGGGAACGGTTGCTCTTTCCCACTCAGTTAAAAATAAATAAATAAAACACCAAAAAAATAAAAATTAAAATGAGAACAGAAACCTCAAACTGCATAAACAACAACAAAAAAATTGAAATAAATGAGAAGAAAATTTTTCAAAAGAAGTTAAAAAAGATAAAAGAAACATAAAGAGAAAAAAGAAAGTCACAATATCTGGGGAGGGAGGAATGAGAGAAAAAAATAAGAGTAAAAGAATAGTAAGGGAAAAATGGAAAACTTCAAAATGAAAAACAAGGGATGGGAAGAACCAAAAGAAAGAAAAAGGGAATCAGGGAAAAAAAAAAAGAACCAGGCATGGGAAAGAGAAAAAAAAAGAAGATAAAATGAATTATTTAAAAACAAACAGAAACAAAACTGTGGGGGGTGGAGCATGGCACCCAGACCCCACCAGGGCACATACTGGGTGGAACCGCTGGTCAAGAAGGTGGGTGCAGGCAAGGGATGCCCAGACCCCTGTTCACCAAGACAGTATGGGGCATAAAAGTAACAAAGGAAATATCACACCTTTCTAGTTGTCAGCCTCCAGTCAGTGTGATTGCCCATACTGTCCTCGGCAGGCGGAGCTCATTCCTAGGTCACTGTCCAGGTAAGAATGCCACCTGCACACATTCAAAATGACCACACCCACAGCTTACAAACATCTAAAATGGCTGCGTCCTCAGGACAGCCACTGGCAGTCCACAGGTCTGCCTGTCCCTTTCCTCACTATTCTCTCTTCTGATCATCAGGGACCAATGCAGTCCCTGCCAATACAGTCCTTGGTGAGCAGAGATAATTCTTAAGTTCCTATCAGGAAATATTCAAAATGGCTGTACCCTCAGGACAGCTGGCAGTCCACTGCTCCATTTGTCTCCTTACTCACTGTTTCATTCTGGTTCTTCTATTAGTTGTTATTTAATCCACTTCTTTGCCCTTCCTTTCAAAACTCAGGGTTCCAGTATCATCTTCTGTGTCAGTTTCAATTGGTTTCTCATCGCTTTGTTGCAGAGGGTCTATGTAGCTTGTCTTCCTATTCCACAATCTTGCCAGAACTTCCCAAGAACATCTTTTATTAAGGTTACTTTAAAATCTGAGGGGATGAATAAATTAGTATCTATTTTATAAACAGTTTCAAGGAATCAAATTTCTTAGCATTCAAGTTTAAGGTTTTGCATTAAATAATAAGTTAAATAATTGCATTTTAGTAGGCTATAACACTTTCAAGGAATCATAAATATGCATTTTTATTTTTAATTTTTTTTTTGGTGAAAGTATATAAATATGTATTTTTAAATTATCTGAAAACACTTTGCTACTCAAAGTGTAGTAGGCTTAGCATCATCTGGAGCTTATCAGGAATGCAGAATTGTAGGCCTCATCCCAAACTTACTGAATCAGAATTTCTATTTTAGCAAGATCCCCAGATGCTGGTTATATACACTGAAATTTCAGAAGCATTTGCCTAGAGAATTAATTTTGAGAAAGAAAATATTCTTTTAGAATGAAGTATTCAAGTAAGTTCAGAGGATAAAACACATGAATATGACTAATAAAGTATAATGTTGAAAAATTATAATAAATGGAATTTTAAATTATAGAGAAAAAGAAGTAATTTTTTTAAATAAGTATTAAAATATTTTAAGTGTGTATGTTTTATTAGGCTTAGGAAATTAAAGGAGAGACAGGAAATTGAGTATTAGAGCATAAGAAAATTACAAAAAAAAACATTAAGGACACATTAAAATCTCTCTCTACATATACATATACAGTATAAGATAGATAGCAAGAGCAAGAAGAAACTCTAAGTTGATTAAATAAGCTTAGAAATATGGATGGATTATCTATAACAGCAATCTAGTCCATATGTTGTTGCTGTTGTTGTTATGTGCCATCAAGTCGGACCCAACTCAGAGCAACCGCTCCTTGGGTTTCTGAGGCAGTATCACTATGGAAGTAGATTGCCCAACCTTCCTTCCAAGGAGTGGCTGGTGGGTTTGAACCGCCAGCCTTCTGGT